TTTTTTACGCACTAGGTGCAAATGATAGGTAAACGTCTAAGGTCCATTGGGCCAAAAGGTTCATGTGGGACAACTGATGGTTTGTCTTCACCATAGGTCCAAAGTTAGGTCTAAAGAGTCTTAGATGCCTACCCCGGTATTTTTAAAAATCTGTCAGTCATTCCCTACGGCAATACTTATTCCCTACGGCAATACTTTTTTACGCACTAGGTTCAAATTATAGGTAAGGGTCTAAGGTCCATTGGGCCAAAAGGCCCAGGTGGGACAACTGATGGTTTGTCTTCGTCATAGGTCCAAAGTTAGGTCTGAAGAGTCTTAGATGCCTACCCGGCAATACTTTTTTCCGCACTAGGTGCAAATGATAGGGGAAGGTCTAAGGTCCATTGGGCCAAAAGGCCCAGGTGGACAATTCATGGTTTGTATTCACCAGAGGACCAAACGTAGGTCTAAAGAGTCTTAAATGCCTACCCCTCACACCACCTTAATCTTTCAAATTCTGTCAAAAAGTCCCTACGGCAATAATAAGTAATATTTCTAACCCTTGCAATGAGTAACACAATAGGACGATTCGGTTATCCCGTAGTTATCATTATACTTCGACGAGGCACATGTATACCTTTGTTTTCACTTTTGAAAAGGTAACTAAAATATATAATTCTTCATTTAAAATCTTATCTATAGAATGTCAAATGTATTTATTTGATAAACTGGTGAAACCAATTCTTCTTTACGGATGTGAAGTTTAGGGATTTGGAAAAAATAACATTATTGAACAAGTTCACCTTAAATTCTTGAAAGATTTATTACATCTTAAAAGATCTACCACAAATATATATGATCGTGTATGGGAAACAGGACGATATCCATTAGAAATTAGCATTAATTGTAGAATGTTATCATATTGGTGCAGGTTGCTGTAAGATGAAAATAAGTTATCATTCATTTTATATAAATTTGCATATTTTCGGTATCATACATGCAACGATGATATTGTATGGATAAAGTACATCAAAACCATATTGGACAATGCTGGATTCTCAAACCTAGTTCATGTGCAACATACCGACGTTACAAAATGGTAATCGAAAAGTCTCAAACTTCGATTGATTGACCAGTTTAAAGAAATTTGAACTCGGCTATCCAGAACACTCCTAAATGCATCACATATAGGCTTTTCAAGGAAAATTTGGAATTTGAAAATTATTTCAATATTAGCATTGACCGATATATATATATGTAGGACTCTAAAGTGCGATGGGGACGCTAAAGTGCGATGGTCACGCTAAAGTGCGATGGTCTGCGCTAAAGTGCGATGCCTCCATACGCTAAAGTCCGATGGTTCGCGAAAGTATAGTCGTAAGAAACGTAGTTGGATTATGACGTTAACAGTCGTTTATACAAACCAAAAATGAATATGCCGGAAGATAAATTAAGGATATTTGATTAACAACTTTTAAATCAAAAGTCCATGACTTAATTTCAGACCTAACCGTGCTTTGTCGGCTGAAGCAAACGTGTTTTTTTGGGGTGCTGGAAGAAGGACTTGTGTCTCGCATTTAAGCTTGAAGCCTTGTATCAATAAATGCTAACTTACTTATTCCGACAATGAACGCATTTTGTATTTGTAATTTACAATGACGACTGTAAAATTATTGATAGACTTTGTGAGCGGCAAGCTTCACCAATTATCCAAATATTTAATACGAAAGAAATTGTTAAAAAATCATTTAACAAGAACTACAGTATTTTGTGACACATAAATTACCTTTTTAGCAATGATTACGTGGTCGGTCTTCTCAATTTAGAAACAATCACTTAAGCCTACCGGTCAATCATAAAGCCTATTACATATGTTATACCTTAGCATACTAGCTTTTGCAAAAAGACTTGTTTTTAACATCCATGCACTTTACTGAATGTTTTAAGCCCTCGAACCTTACCCTATTGTTCCATCGCACTTTAGCGTGCTATACCATCGTACTTTAGCAAACTAGCAATCATCGCACTTTAGCGTGAGACACCATCGTACTTTAGCGTAGACCATCGCACTTTAGCGTGACCATCGCACTTTAGAGTACCATCGCACTTTAGAGTCCTACATATATACACTTTGCAAATTCCGAACTACAAATCATTCACTCCCAAATAGAAAAGGGGAGATGGTATTATATTGACAGAAGTGAAAGAAAGTGCTCTTATTGCCAGAATGGAGATATCGGAGACGAATATTCAACACACTGTTTAACTCCGAAAAACCAAAGACACTTAGCATGCTTAGACAGCTTTGCAATTTCATAAGATGTATCAACAGTAAAATTACGCCTTCTTCTCAACCATAATTTCAACATATTTAAACACAAAAACTATTTCTTTAAACATGCTTATTTACTTTATTTGTGTGTGTATATATTATCATATTTTTATTTATTTTTATCTATTTTTATTTATTTAAATTTTTTTGAATTTTTTTTTTTTTTTATGTTATCACATCTAATATTTTGTGTGCATGTTTTTAACTTCTCTGTAACATTTGTACTTGCATGGTTTTATGAGAATAAACTAATAAAAATAAAACTAAAAGCCTAGAATTTATATCCAAGTACACGTACAAAATTGGCGCTTGATATAATCCCTGTACAATACTGTTCATAAAATTGCGATACAAACTTTTCGTTCTCTTTATCTTGTCTAGATACAACTGAAGATTCATCGATACTTCTTGATTTAATATACATGTATGTTATTGTTTGTAATTTTATTATAGTATCCAGAAAGGAAAGAAAAAACAATCACATATTACACTTTTATTTCCTGTTTGTTTCAACAGCATTTATTTTCACCTAACAACATTTTTTTCCACCTTTAACCAAATTGTAAATGCAAACAACGTAAACATTAAGCCAGCATAAGCATTATTCAACCATGTAAGTTTTCTCCAAAATGGGCTATAGAAAATACAGGTTAACACATGAATCCGGTATTAAAATGTCTCCTAGTAGTTTTGAATTTTTCGCTGCAATGTCCTGCGCCCGATATTAGGTAGATGCCAGACACGTGATTAAATTTCAAATCTTATAATGTACAGGATATGTAGTTTGCTCATATGTATATATTATACGAAATGTAATTTTTTTTACAGAAAGTATCCATTCAAATGCACATGCAAATTGGCTAGTATCAACATTCCATTGCATAGAATGAATAAAAGAATTAATAGTTAAACTAGAATATTAAATTTCACAATCTAAAATAACTTATTTTCTAAAAGACATGCGGACCACAACACATGTTGTGTATAGTGCATTATGTAAAAGATTGGATGGCTCTTTTTCTGCATAAACATGTGAATAATGATATCTTTATTTAGAGGAAATTTACGGGAGCCGGTTAGTGTCATGGGGATTTTTTTTTAACTCGTTATAACGAACTAGTTATAACGACTTAGCTTTATAACGAGTTACTAAGTCGTTTTAACGAATTAGCTAAGTCGTTATAACGAGTAAAAATAAAAAATTAAAAATGCCCCCCTAACAATAACCGGCTTCCGTACTTTTGGGAGTTAACTGAAAACTGAAAAAATCCATCAATTTTACATTGTGTTAATTTAAACATAAAACAAGTATGAACAACTTTATCAAAGGCTTTGTATATAAGTCTACACAACATGCAAATGACATGTGTATAGTTTCTTGTTTCCAGCTTTTTAAAAATATTTATTGATAATACATTTAAATACAAAATACTATAAAACCAATTGTGCTATATGGTGCAGAAAGTTATGTTATTTTAATCCATTTAAAACGATACTGAGAAGGAGTTACCTAATTCTAGCAATAACATTAACGGTATCAATTTTACTGCCGCGTGCCCAGATGTCCATAGATGTCTCTTCAGTAAAGCTCGAGGCCAAAATATATGAAAAAACAAAACTTATACAAATGTTGAAGAGCTGATCGAAACAAAAAAGGACCCAAAGCTGCAAAGTATAGCCAAATCCGAACAAGGAATCAGAGCTTTGCATGAGGAAGATATGTTCCTTGGTTTTAAATGATTTTCAAAATTTTATAACAGAAAATTTCAAATAAACAATATTCGTATTTTCATGCCAGTACCGAAGTACTGGCTACTGGGCTGGTGATATCCTCGGGGACTAACAGTCCACCAGCAAAGTATCGAACCAGTGGTAACAATAACATTAACAGTACCAATTTTACTGCACCAGATGCGCATTTGGACAATAGAAGTCTCCCTGTAGTGATGTTCGAGGTCAACATATTTTAAAAACCAAAACTTATACAAACATTGAAGAGCTGATCAAACCAAAAAGGACCTAACGTATAGACAAATATATATCATGTTTATGAAAATGTATGTGAAAACCAGATGAGGGATTGTTCTGCTTGAAAACTGTCAACAAAAGTTTGGTATTAAGAAATGTTTAGCTGTAAAACAATTTTAGCAGAGCGAAATATTACTTAACCTAGAATATCTGCATTTAGGTTGTACATTGAACGAGAAAGGTATCAGGATACTTTCCAACAATATAGAATTGGTCTCGGGTGAACCTAGGGTAAAATAGATGATGACGAGCACTTGTTGTTCTCATATACATCCAATAATAAATTGGACTGTATGTTGGATTTGATCTGTTCTCCATGTATCAACTTAACACTTCTTAATAAATCTAATAAACTGATGTGGTTACTAAACTTTGAAAACGAACTTATAGTATCTTTCTTAAGTGAACTAATCTCTCTAAGTGGAGTATAGTCTGTATATGGCTTTTCTGGACTAACACGAGATATTCATGCTGCTGCAAATAGTATTTCTATTAAATTTCATCATGTAATTTTTTTAATATATATGTTTTCATAATCATGCAGCTTGTCTAGTTGAGCACTGACCCTTGGTGTTCAGTGCAGTCTTTCTCTATCACCAAAAAGGAAGCATTTTATTTTATAGTATAAATTTTATATTAATTTATTAAACAGTATGCATGATATAATTAATATGTCTGAATGTGTGCATCTAGGACAAAGTATAATTTGCATAAGTTACAGTTCAAATGTAGATAACCAAAGATTTTTTTATAACGACATTGGTTTTGTTTTGTTGGTGATTACCGATTGATTGACTGGTGTTTGCTTTACGCCGCCTCAGCACAAAAAGGCTATATCGCGGCGATGTTGTCACTGATAACAGTCGAAATATATTTTTTTTTACATCTAATGGTTATTAATATTGGAGTTCTGGGACTATATAACAATAAGAAGATGTGGTATGACTGCCAATGCGACAAATCTTCACCAGAGACCAAATGACGTAGAGGTTAGTAACTATAGATCACCGTACTTCCCTCAACAATGAACAAACCCCATACCACATAGCAAGCTTTAAACGGAACAGAAATAAAGACAAATGTAAAACAATTCAAACGAGATAACCTACGGCCTGATTTATGTACAAAGAAATAAACGAAAAACAACAAATATGATAAACAGCAACAACGACAACCACCGAATTTCGTTATCCTCATATATACGAGCAAGCGAATAAAGACAGATCTGAATTTTAATCAGATTGATACAGAATGTAGCGGGGTTAAACAAGTTTACGGGCACCAACCCTGTCTTTAACCTGGGACAGTGGTGTAACAGCACAACATAACAACAAACTAGAAAAAATCAGTTGAAAAGGGCTAAATCACCAGATCGATACAGAGCACAGAAATAACTAACAAATACACTAAAGAAAAAAAGTACAGATCCGAGAATTCTCACATTTACTGAAACCTAGTTCAAAACCAATAAAAATTTACAAAAAAAAACATGTATCTAATGCTTAACAAGATAAATTTGTTTTGAATATTCTACCACAATGGCACTTTGTGAACGCCCCTTCTCTGTTTTACCTCTGTCTGTCCATCCCTCGTATCCTTCTCAGGAACTACAAACCAGAGCTTCTTGAAATTTGGTATCATGCTTTAAGTGGGCATACAGTGTGATGCCTTTTCAGATTCATCGCTTCTAACTTTCCTGTTGAAAGTTTCTTTTGAATAATGAAAAAAGAATATTTTGCCTGTTGCTCAGATTATGAGTACCTGTTTCTTTACTACCCCACTTACGGGAACCAGTGCGATCTTATATGCAATTAAAAGTATGTTAAATTTTTCAGCACAAGCCAGGACGAAGTACAGTTTGCCATAAAATGACTGTCACTTTGTTTTAACATAGACAAAATAGGTATGAATGCTTGAAATTGCAGAATCTGTCATAGAAAGTAATGGACTCTGAATAAGTGGTTTATCCCTATTGGGAAACTCGACTTGTTATCATCCTTGAATTAAAACCAAATAAAACTGCACCTTTCATCACTGCAATATCAGGATTTTTTGGAATAACGATCTTGTACGCTTTTCCAAAGCTCTTGTTAATTGCATTAGTAAGAATTGTCGACATTGAATGACCACCAACAATTAAGATTGTCTCAACTCCTTCCAGTTTTTTTTTCTTTAGTAAGTTTTCCATTTCTTTAACAATATTTTTAATAGAATCATCAAAAAATGATCTGAAAAGTTCATTTGTTATTCTCATTTTATCCCTCTTAACTGATACTCGACTCCTATACATGCTTTGTTTGACTGTGTCTTCTAGATCGCATCCTGTTACTTTTTGGAAATGGTCTAACCATGAAAATGGTAATGGCAAAGTTTGATTATCCTTTGGCAATTTCGAGTGTTCTTCTGTGAAAGAGGCTTTTGTATGCTCAAAATTATAAAGTAATTGGTAATAATCGGAAGGGTTGTTAATCTTGACATTAGTAATAACATCATTACCAAGAAGTCTTAGCAAAAAATTGTTAAACTTTGCAGTGACTGTGATTCCACCCCAGTGTCCCCCGCACGCTTGATGAATTTCTTTCAATGTATTCTTCCCAGTAACTTCGTATACTGTTATATCTGTTGTCCCACCTGTCGGAAATACAAAATGAAATTCATAATTATTATTAAGAAGCTCCCAATAGCCTGTATCGCTCACCTGTCATTTTTTGCAAACAAAATATTGATACAATACAACAAAATTATGTATTGAATGGAAACTATTGTACCATTTGTCTTGCAGATCATTTTGGCTGGACCAAGTTTCTGTATATAATTCATTATTATTTTACAGAATATAAATGAAATTGAAAAATAAAATGGGTTAAAATTGTGACCTTTTTGTGAAGTTTTATATAATGGGTCAGTTCACTATTTCCGTCATGTTGACTGATTTGTAAATTTTATTTTGCTGCATGATCATTTATACTATTTTTAGAAAATTTCTCTATCTGCTTTAATTTCCGCAAAAAAATCATATAAATTTAAATTGCAATAACTCCGATATAAGGCCAATTGGCTATGGACATATTTGTAGATCTTAATTTGCTGATGATTTTGGCTTTTTGAAGATTCTTTCTATGTGCTATATAGGTTTCCGCAAAAAATGGGTTAAAACAGCAATTAAGGGCATTAACTCGTATAAGGCACCAATTAACGATTTCAGCCTCTAATTGTGCTAAATATTTTTTTCTATTAAAAGTTTTTCCCTGTCTATCATAGTTTCTGCAAAAAACACGAAAATGGATAAACATCGTCTTTCAAGGGCAAGATCTCTATCCGTTTTAGTTTCCGCAAAATATGGCAAATGGTTATTAAAGTCATCATTGTAGGGCATAGTCTCCTATATGAAATCAATTGGGGATTTCTGCCATGTTGACTTATTTCTAGATCTTATTAAGCTGGACATTTTTTATTTCCCTTTGAACAGTATCTGATCACATTTTCTCTATATCTGCCAAAAAAAATGGTAAACGTCGTCTTTCAATGGCAATAAATCATATAAAGGGCAATTGTCGATTTGGCAGTCTTGACTAATTGTGTTGGTAATGTTAACGATCTTAAAGTTTCTCCCTATCTATAATAGTTGTCAAGATGATAACCAAAACCTGTGGAATTTCAAAAAAATTGAGATATAAGCCAAAAACGGCAGTTTACTCCCTATGTTCTATTTTTAGCAACAGCGGCAATGTTTGTTGGTGTATCAAATCCTCGGATACAATTTTACAACTAGATTCCCTTAAAACATTCAGTTAAAGTTTGGTAACATTTGGTGTAGTAGTTTAAAAGAGGGCCGGACAACGGACGACTGACGACAAGTGATGGCAATTATTTATGAAATCGATAATCCGATGCTCATATTAGACCAACAAGAACGAAAAATTATCAAACACGCTCGATTTAGAAAATAAATATTGATGTTTAAGGGATTTATAAGAATTCATCTAAATCCGGGTTATTTGAGAGGTAAATACACTCTAAAAATGTGTTTAGGGTCTTAACATAAACCTATACATGTTACTTGCAATGCATTTGTTAACACGTTCTTATCCTAAATATGTTCTTCTCATAAACATGTTGAGGAAAGTTTAAAGCTTAAGCATGTTTAATATATATATATATATATAAACAAGTCTAAATTGAAAACAACGTTCAAACCTATGATTGCGTTGGATAAAAACCGCAATTTTTTTACGCGTGCATGCAAAACAAATTTCTTTGTAGAGGGGTCTAAATACAGCACAAACAACATTTTCCAAAAGACCAAAAAAGTGAAAAAGTATATTTTAACAAAACGCATTTGACTAGCAGGTCGAACAACGGATGTTCTTAAACCCTGCTGACTGCCATGGCGATTGCCAAATAAACGGATCACAGATGTAACACAATGGATCTTAATTATATTAATTTAATACCAAACAGAAAACAATAAACTTGCGGAAAAGATGGTATATCGCAAACATGAGGTGCAAAAATTTGTACACCATATCCGGATTTCGACAATTAATGTCTCTTCAGTGATGTTAGGAATCGAAACGGTATTTGGAAGGCCATATAATTTACATATATGTATACAAGAGGAGTTGACCTTTTACACGCCCAGAGCCACACAAAAGAGCAAAAAGGCAAACGAGACAACAGTGCCGGGAGGAATAGTTTAATAAACCTAAAAAGAAAATAATCGTGTCGGACAAAAAAAGGTTTATTGTGTTTTGAGAGGTTAGATAATCATCAATAATTTAAGAAATCCAAATTAATTAAACCATACCAAATGCATGTTAGTTCAACGTTTATGATAAAAGAGTTTTGCGGTGATTGCAATTTGTAAAACATCATGGCGTGTAATAGTGTTATTTGAAGAATTATAAGTTTATAGAGAGAAACGACTATAAGCATTATGGAACAATCCATTTGATACCAATCTATGTAAAATAAAGAAAGCTTATGTTGAGAATTTTTGTTTTGTTTCGTGAATTGTCGAGTTATTGTGTCCTATGTAGGTGTCAACCAGACATTTGATTTATTACAGAATAAAATTGAGAATGTAAACGGGGAATGTGTCAAAGAGACAACAACCCGACCAAAGACCAGAAAACAGCCCAAGGCCACCAATGGGTTTTCATCACAGCGAGAAAAGCCCGCACCCGGAGGCGGGCTTCAGCTGGCTCCTAAAATAAAACCTTTTTCCAATTTCATAAATAAATATTAATAAAAGTATAACTTGTTAATAAACATATAACTAGAAGGTTATTCTTAAAGCATATTTTGAGGTGAAACAAAGATAACTATTAAGTGAAATGATCAGACTAAAGCTAGCAACCAATTATAGCAACCACTAAAGATCATAATAAGAATTAACAAGCTAGAGAACCTTTATGTGATATATAATCTAAAAACCACCAATTTGCATTGGGTAATAACGTTATATAACAAATAAAATTTTTGCTACCAATACCAAATGTGTTGTTTTTTAATATTTAATTGACCAGACATATGAACATTTCAGATAAGACGGAGACAGTACAATATCACATCTACAGCTGAATGAGTAGCTTCGCTGGCTTGCACAAATCTAGTGCTATTAAGCAGATAGCCGTATATCGCTCGACTCTGGTAAATCGGGCATTACTAGAAAAAGTCGAGACTGCAAATCTAAAATCTAAACATCTATGTTAGTAAAGCTTGCGTCAGTTGCTGGAATTGGTCAATCTATGCTAATTTTCAGTCTTGAACGTAATACAAATTAAAACCGAACCACGCTTGTACAATTGTAAATTCCAAAATCTCGGAAGTTCACGCAAATTTGATATTAGCAACAGAGGCTGTGTATTTATGCATCCAAAATGAAACTGACACACCCAACTGTGGTGGTTTGGCACTGACTGCGCGATTTACAATTCTCAAATGACGACTCGTCAACCAGAATAATAACAGTATATATATATCTGTTACCTGTTACCTAATCTGTAAGTTCCGCCTCTGTCAGGCGCACCACCAAACGGTGTATTTGGGATTTGCTATTTACACGTGCCATAATCACACCTGAACTTCGTCATTTTACCGGGATTCTAACTGTTATATACAATCACTGACCAAAAAAGAAAATTATATATATCTAAATAGCGTATGTACATAACTCCTCTACTAGCTATCCATACTTCTGGTTGTAAAGTTCACAAAAAGTTCTCAAAATGTAATTGTTCAATCAATAACTGATTAAAAAATAATGTCACATTGTATCATGATAGAACCTAGGTTATCTACTTTTAGCGCTAACGCAGTAATATACAAAATTGGCTGTTCCGCGTTACGCCTACCTTATTTATACGACCAGGTAAACTCAATTTGCGACAGTAAAAACCCACATTTTAGGTAGGCCAAGCTTCAAATACAATACGGTTATCTCTATTGTAATGGAAAATAAACAATTCAGTCCGTTTCAGTTATCATTTCGGTGTAACACTTCATAAAAAGAAAATTCCGCGAAATGACGGCAACTAAACAAGGTGACGTCATATGTTTGCTTCTGGCGACAAATTTAAACACCGGCCGTTTTCAGGCTTCGTGTACGCCTAAAAATGTAATGAAATTGGATAAAAAGAACATTTTTTTTTCGTGAAAAATGTTAGGTTTTTTGTTTTGTTTATTATAGAATAAGATAATATTTTTAATATTATTATACGTTCGGTTAAAACGGAACAGCCAAAACAGAATCGTGTGTATAAGGCAGTTTACAAAGATCTTTATCAGCTTCCAATCCAAGTATTTCAACTCTATTACATGTATGACCATACAATTAAACCTATTCTAGTGTATAGCATTGAAATTACATGTATGTTCAAAACTAGCTCTGCAGCATGCCAGAAAGAAAATGAATATCTATTACAGCATATTTATATTCATGATTTTTTTTAGATAAATCCAATTCCAGATATATGAAGTATATTTTAGGTGTAAATAAAAAGTCACCAACTTAGCTGTCTGCTAGGAGAACTTGTGGGATTCCCTTTATATGTTTCAGTTGTATTATCAATGGTGAAATATTTGTTTAGAACAAAAAATATGGAACATGGTTTACTGTCTGATACCTATATGTGTAATTACATAAACATTTTTACTTAGTACTAATAATATAGAATGCTGGTATTTAACCATACGTTAAATTTTTAAAAAGCTGAATATTCAAAATTCAGATGTCAAGTTTAACTGTTTTTATCTAGTCAGTTAAGCAAAAACTCTGTAATAGTTTTTTTAAATTTTGGAACACAAAAAGAACAGATACAAAAAGTAGTAAATTAGATATTTATTTTAAACAAAAAGTTGTTTTTCTAAAGAAATTTATCTATCTTTAAACAATTTTCGATTGAGATGTGCCATATGTAAAATCAGAATCAGTGCCCATGATCTCAAAATAGAAAGAGACACATCTACATCTACAAATTACTTTTTAGCTTCAATATGTGACAAAATCATAGTGTATTGTTTTGTATTATTAACCAGTTTAGTGCATTATGTATGAAACTGCCTCTTTATTAATAAAAGCAAAACTGGTCCATCACAGACTAACAACTAACAGGGCATAAGAACAGGGC